TGTGTGTGTGTGTGTGTGTGTGTGTGTGTGTGTGTGTGTGTGTGTGTGTGTGTGTGTGTGTGTGTGTGTGTGTGTGTGTGTGTGTGTGTGTGTGACTCTGGCCACAGTGAGGGGAGCCGGTGGCTCTCTCCCTCTGTCTGTCCTGTCTTCCATCTCCCTGCCCCGCTCCCTGTTCTCCCATCTCCTCCCTCCACCCATGAGTGCGGGACCCTCAGGAGATAGTGTTCCTGCCGTTCAAGTGTGCAGGCTGGGCAGCTGCCTGCTACGAATGTAGCAAAAGGTAGAGATCCCTCCCGGCCCTGGGATTTCTGGCTCCAAATGGAAGATTCTCTTCTCTCTCAGGCTGGGTGCTTCCTGCAGGAAGCAGTTACCACCTGCCCCTTAGAATCAAGGACAGATGAAGCAGGTGGGTTTGGTCCCCACCCTGGGCACTACCTGCCCACCCACTGCCTCACTCCCCCTCCAAGGAGGGTGTGTACTCAGGCGATGGGGCCACATCTGGGACACAGGCTGGAGGGGTGGGACCAGGAGCCCAGGGCAGTCCAGAGGCTTGGGCGGAGACCTGGCCCCAGAGAAGGGAGACATGAAAGGGGTGATGAAGACAAGCTGGCATCTGCGTGGAGGCCTGGCTGGGAGAGGAGATTGCCGCCAGCAGCCCAGCCCTGGCTCTCACCTCCTACTCCCTCCCTGACCCTGTTGCTCACATCAAAGTGGGGACCCCTTCCCCTTGCTCGCTCCCTGAATGGGTCCGGGTCATCACTTCTGGCTCCTTGAAGCTGCTGACGGACAGACGGTAATAGCTCCCAGAGCACTGAAAGACCAGCTTCAGGTTAGCACAGCCCCGGCGGTCAGAGCTGTCCTCTCCTGCAGCCACTGTCTCGGCTCCCCCAAGACAGACTGCTCAGTGGGTGTTGGGAAAAGGGGGTTCACAGTCTGCTCTGACACTGGGGTTCAGAGCCCACAGATGCAGGTGGGAGGTGTGGGAGCGGTGAGGGAGCTGAGGACTCTGAAATCCACGTGAGAAAGCCCGTGGGGTGCAGGAATGAGGCCCGCCCCCGGAGCAGCGGTGGAGAAGGGGAGGCCGGCAGCTGAGCACACATGTCTGGCACCTGAGGCACATCATCGCAGCCCAGGCTTCCAAGCCTGCCATCTTTATTTCCCCCCATTATTTATTAAATGACATTTTATCGACCTGTTTTGTTAGTCAAAATCATACATATTAATCAGGGCTTCTGATCAACAAAGAGATGGCAATGTTCTACTACCTTGAGCCAAAAGCTAAGAACTCCTGATATTTCAGCTGAGCTGTGCAACCACGTGGTGAGTAAATGCATATTTCCGTTAGGCTTTTTTTTTTAATTGGTGAAAAATTGAAAGTAGCAATGTCTTATAAATGAATGGAGCCTGCAGACTATGGAATGGGCCCCATCAACAGAATTCACAGGTAAAATCTGCTGTCTCTAGGGGAATTGGGAGGAAAGGTGGCCCTTCAACCCCGTGCACAGTTAGGAAGCCCGGAGGTCAGGATGTAGCAACACTCCTCCCAGTAGATTCTGGGACTTCAGAACGGCTAATACTTTGAGAAACAGGCAAGAGAGGCCAGTGAGTATAAATAAATACCTTCAGAGCAGAAGGTATTTATTCCTGAAAGGAAGGTAGGCAAGCTCTTTCACTTCTCACTCTCGCGTCTCCCCTGGTGTGCCGGGGACAGTGCTGCAGGCAGTATGACTGGTGGGCTGGGGCCCGTAATGCAGATCTGGGACTGATAAGGCAGGGCCCCCATTATAGGGCTGGATGTCATTTTGTCATCCCACCTAAGATGTACGCTTATCTGAGTGTAGCCATGAGGCTTTTTGATAGTTGAGAACGGCTTGATTATACTTTTCATTTCTATAATGAGCTTGTAGTACTTTTATAACTGAGCGTTTATGAGTCATATTCTAGTTGGGATACACTCGGCCAGTCTAAACCATGACCTCCCCCCACTACCTCACTCTCCACCTGAGAACAGAAAACCCCACGTTTAAGCTAAATTAAAAAATAAAGGACCGAGATTTACAATGCTGGGGAAGCCAATGTCAGGGGTTTCAGGAAGTTAGAGAAGAACAGGGAAAGACTCTTGTGGAGGACACTTGATTATAAAACGTGTTCCCACTTTCGGCCCAGTGAGGGATAAGAAATCTGGGAGACTGTTGCCATCTGGTGGCAAAATGGGAAACTACAATTATTTCTCATTTTGCTTCATTCACGTTAACACTGTAATAAAATTAAATTGTACCCTATGAAATTATCTATATCTGACCCAGTGTGACCTTCAAAAATGGAAGCTTACCAAAACAATTCCATGGGAGGAAGAAGAATCTTTTCAACAAATGGCGCTGGGACCACTAGCTACCCACATGCAAAGTTAGGGACCTTAATACAACATACTGAAAAATTAATTTAAAATGGATCATAGCCCAAAATGTAACAGCTAAAACTAGAAAACTATTAGAAGAAAAGATAGGATTAAATCTCCGTGACTTTGGATTAGGCAATTTTTTTTATATATGGCACCAAAAGCACAACCAACAAAAGGAGATATAAATTCAAAATCTAAAACTTTTGTGTGCAAATGTTATAATTTTTTAAATGTAAGGACAACACATAGAAAGGGAGAAAATATTTGCAAATAATATACCTGATAAGGGACTAGCATCCAGAACACATAAAGAACTTTTACAATAATAAAAAGATAACCCAGGGCTTCCCTGGTGGTGCAGTGGTTGAGAGTCCGCCTGCCGATGCAGGGGACACGGGTTCGTGCCCCGGTCTGGGAGGATCCCACATGCCGCGGAGCGGCTGGGCCCGTGAGCCATGGCTGCTGAGCCTACGCGTCCGGAGCCTGTGCTCCGCGACGGGAGAGGCCACAACAGGGAGAGGCCCGCGTACCGCAAAAAAATAAAAAAATAACCCAATTTAAAAATGGCCAAAGGATTTGAAGACATTTCTTCAAACAAGATATATAAATGGCTAATAAACACATGAAGACATGCTCAATATCATAAGTCATCCGAGAAATGGAAATCAAAACCACAGTGAGAAACCACTTCACATCCTCTAGGAGGCCCATAGTCAGAAAGATAGGTAATAACAAATGTTGGTGAGAAATTGGGTGTGTAAAATGGTGCAACCCCTTTGGAAAATAGGCTGGCAGTTCTACAAAGTGTTGAGCAGAGTTAACACTTGACCTGTAGTTACCGTGTGACCCAGCAATTCTACTCCTAGTTACATACCCAAGAGAAATGAAAACATACACCCACACAAAAACTTATACATGAATGTTCATAGCAGCATGATTCATAACGAAAAAGGGGAAACGATCATCAACAAATGAATGGATACACAAAATTCGCATACTTATACGATGGAGTATTATTCAGCAATTAAAAGAAGTGAAATACTGATACATGTTACAACAAGATGAATCTTGAAAACATGCTGAGTAGAAGAGGCACAGAAGATCATATATTGCATCATTCTATGTATATCAAGTATCGAAAATAGGCAAATCTATAGAGGCAGAAATAGGAGAGTGGCTGGCTCTGGCTGAGCGGGAATGGGGAGTGACTGCTAAATGGATATCGGGTTTCTTTTCATGAGGATGAAAATATTCTAAAATTAGACTGGGGTGATAGTTGTCCAACTCTAGGAATATACAAAAACCATTGAATTTTACACTTTAAATGGATGAATTTTATATAAAGCATGTGAATTTTGCCTCAATAAAAATGGCAACTTTAACCTGCTTTAACCTAACATTACATTAATTAGGCGCTTGCCGTGTCAGGAACTCTTCTGGGAACTTAACATGAATTATTTCAATTAATCCTTAAAATATCTGTGTCATAGAGGTACTATTATTATACCCATTTTGAAGGTGCATGAACTGAGGCTCTGATAAGTTAAATAAACTATCCACGGTCGTACCAAATAAATATCAGAGCCGTTTGAACCCAAAGCCCATCTGGCTCCAGAGCCTGAGAGCTACCACAGACCTAGGGCTGCCTCTCTGTTCAGTAGCCACTTTACAAGCGTTTACAGATATAGGGCTTGGGGGCCAGACACAAAGATGAAAGCCCTGGTGCCTGCCCCCGGGAAGCTCACAGGCTGGGAGAAGGCAGACGTGATTACAGGTAATGGTTAGGATGCGCTGTAGTAAGTGTGGAACGATGAAGATGGGCACACCTTGCGGTGCTCTGGGGACACGGGGTGACCGCCACCCTCCGCTCCTCCCTCTTGGATGTGTGGATGTGTAACAGCACTGACATAGGACTGGGACGGCCACCCCAAACCTCTTCCTCCCCCTTTTATTGTCAACCCACCTCATCTACCCCACCACTCAGACAGGCTCCCTGGGAGGCACCCTAGACGCTCCCCCTACCCCACTCATGTCAACCCCTAATCAGCTCTACCCATGCTCCTTCCCAGCTGTATCTTGAGCCTGTTTACTGCGCGCCCAGGGCCCCACTCTCGTGCAGCCACCGTCACTTGTCAGCTGGGCCATGGCGTGGGCCTCTTCACCAGTCTCCCCGCTCCTAGTCTGGCTCCCACAAGACAGTCTGCACACACCCACTGAGGAGTCCACAGTGCGAGCAGCGGCAGGTCAAGAGCCCCACAGGTGTGAAGAGTGGCAATGAGGTGAGTTGGGGGGAGTGTTAAAGGGAGGTGATATGAAGTGTGGAATTGTGTGTGTGGAGTACACACGTGTATGGACTGACGTGGGCTGGAAGGCATGGGGTACCTGTGTATTTAGGACATGTTTACTGTAACTGTGAACACACAGCATAGAAAATCCCCCCAAAAGAAGATTCACCCTACTGTGTGATCACCCCTGATTAAAACCCCAGGGATTTAATCTACGCTGTGGATCGTAGCACATAAGAGTGCACCACGTGGTGTTCGAGAGAGGAAGTGAACAGAAATATCTCAAGACTGCTGGTCCAAGAGGAGCCTAAGGCCCCAGCTGATGGAGGCATCTATACAGACAGCCACCAAGGAGACAGGCGAAGGGGTCCCTATATAGGACATGGAGAGATGACTCAGGGAACTGGGGGTACAGAGGGGAAACGAAGTTGTAGAGTAAGGAATTTGCCTGGCTTTTGTCCCTGGCTCCTGGAAGGAAGCCTCTAAATCCTTGGAATGATAGGAGTATCTTCGTTACTCACGGTGGGTCCCTGACAATTTGTGTAACCCGTGGAGAGTGGTCAGGGTGGAGGCCACATCAATAGACCAACCTTGTGATTAGAGGGTTCGGGCTCCGGGATGGAAAGGGGAGTTGGATTGAGTTCAATTACTAGTGGCCAGTGATGTAATCAATCAAGCCTACATGACGACACCCCAGTAAAAACTCCAGGCACTGAAGCTACATGACCTTTATGGTTGGCAATACACATCCGTGTGCCAGGAGGGCGATGCGTCCTGACTCCCCCGGGAGAGGCCATGGTAGCTTCCTATTTCGAACCCTCCCAGACTTTGCTCCATGAGTCTCTTCTTTTGGCTGGTCCTGATTTGTATTCTTTTATTGCTGTAATAAGCCTGTAATAGTAAGTATAGCACTTTCCTGAGTTCTGGGAGTCATTCTAGAGGATTATGGAGCCTGAGGAGGTAGCAGGAACCCCTGAATTTTTAGCTATTTGGTGATGGGGTTGAGGACATGCTACCCCAAAATCTGGCACCTTGAATATTTTAAGTTGAAGAAGTTTGAGAAAACAGCAGAAGCAGGAAACTCGATTTGACCTTCTCCTCTCCTTGCCCTTCTTCCCTGAAACAGGTCATAAACTGTCATGTGAGAGGTGCCCTCCCCATAACTGGAGAAAAGGAGCATCCGTATCTCCAAAGACTGAGTCGCCAAGAAGAATCCTAACTAACAGGCCTTGTGAAGCTGCCCCAGTTGCTACAATTACTTCCTCCCCCAACCCATCGCATTCCTCCCTGACGGGCCACTCTTCATCGAAGCTGGCGCGAAAATACACAGGTATTTTTCTGGGTCTGTTTCTCTGGGCCTTCATTTCTTTATGAAAACTCTCATGCCACGTAAAACTTGTAGCAAATAAATGTGTATGCTTTTCTCCTGTTAATCTGTCAGTTCAATTTTTAGACCCAGCCAGGGACCCTAAGAGGGCCGTGGAAAGCTCATTCCTCCCCTTGATTAGTCGGAAGTGCGGTGGCCTGGGAACCCCCGAGCTTGCAGCTGGTGTCTGGACAGGAGTCCTGTGCAGCACTGTGCCCTTAACCTGTGGAGTCTGGCCACACTCTGGGCAGGTGGTGTGGGAAGTACACTGCGCTGTCCGTCCCACTGGGGGAAGAGGTGTCTGCACTCACAGGGCATGCTCCGCACAAGCACAGACAGAAGGCCGTGTCTGTATATCCTACTGGGAGCTCTAGCTAAAAGTGGCCCAGAGAGCCAAGGGTAGCCGATTGAGAAAACATGGGGGTGTGTTTTGTGGTGTTCTTTCGTAGTTACACCAGCCCTCCACTGTACAGAGCCCAGGGACCCAGGATGGTCCCAGCACACCCTGAGCTTGGTTTCTGTGGGAACGAGCAGGTTGCCTGTGACCCTACTTCGTACCGGCTCTGCCACTCCACCTTCCCCCTCTATCCCCTCGTGGTTGAAGGCTGGGGAGGGTGACACTGGTGCCCGGAGAAGTAGGATGTAAGTGTATATTCAGAGAAGGGGTTTAGAGGGAAGGAGAGCAGACTTGGTGACTAACTGGATTTGGGGGCAGGTGTGAGAGAGGAGTTGAGGGTGATTCCCAGGACAGTGGTGATACCATTTAACTAAGGCAAGAGCAGGAGAGGACGACCAGGTCTGGAGAGAGAAGACGAGCGGTGTGAGCACGATCTGGGGGGCCGGTACAGAATCTCAAGGGGTGACGCCCAAGGGCAAATGGATATAGAGATCAGGAGCTCACAGGAGAGACCAAGGTCAGAGAGAGATTCAGAGGCAGCAGCATACAGGCAGAGGTTTCCAAAACCGATCCAGCTCTGCTGCCAGGTCACCTGGGTGAGAAACTGGATGCAGACGGAGCCCTGAGGCTGGAGCCTTCAAGGAGCCTGGAAGGAAATCAAGTGAGGAGATGCGAGAGGAGTTCACGGAATCAAAGCGAGCGAGGAGGCAGAGCAGGAGAGATGGGTTCTAAATGTAAAGACAAGGTACGGTGTGATGATTGAGGAGAGTACCTTGCCGGCTCAGGCTGGGGGGTGCCCAGCCTGGAAAAAACCTAGCTGGCGAGCAGCAGGCGGGTAGCGGCTCCCTGCAGCAGGGAGTGCTGGGGTGAGTCTGCCCTACAGCCCCCTAAGCAAAGCAGCTGGCTCTTCCCAGAGGCTCACAGTGGGCATTTGTGTGGAAGCTAAAAATAAAAGCCCAGATGGGCGAGGGACATTGTTTTCCATTATAAGCCTTTTAGTTCTTGATTTTTTAAAAAATCATGTGCATGTAGAACTTTAATAAAAAGAATGAAAAACTACTTTCTTATTAATTATATGATTTAATACCAAATCCAATCTTTTCACTGGCTCTAACCAATATTTCATTTTAGGCATGTTCCAGCCTCCCTTGGATGTAGCCCACCTTCCCAGGCCACGCCAACCTGGGATAAAAGTTCTCTTAGATTATCCTGGATAACTGCTATACCCAGCAAGACTTAGAAAACACAGACAGGTAAGGGGAGAGCACTGTCACTCCACGCCCTGCCCTAGCCACCCAGCAGTCGGGAATGTCGCGAGCAGACTGCTGCTGGCTGGCGCTGTCCCACCTCTTCCAGCCAACACCTGCAGCCCGGGCTGCCCTACATCTGGACTGCCTGGTCCCTTTGGGGGCGGTTCCCAGGTTCCTGGGGTTTCTCCAAACACTCACAAAACCAGGGGTCTTCTTCAATTGCCTCCCCAATTCAAAGTCAATTATCAGTATTTTCTAAGTGTCACGTTCTTGTACCTTTATCTCGAGGAGCATGGTTTACTAGAAATAGAAACAACAGCCAACAGTCTTAGGCCTTACAGAAACAAATACAGTAAGTCCCCTACATACAAACCTTCAAGTTGCGAACTTACAAAGATGCGAACGTGCGTCTGCATGTCCAATCACGTAAGTTAGTTCACATGTCTGGCGTACATTGTCACATGCCGGCATCCTCTGTAAGTGGTTGTGCTTCTGTGTACTTTACTGTATAGTACTGTATAAAGTACAGTAGTACAGTGTCTTTATTTCAAGCTCAAGATGTCTGGAGGCAAGAGTAAAAGCAGTGGTGATGTAGCTGGTACTGCAGCCTGCCCTCCGTCTCCTGTTGCTGACGATCCTTCAGCTCTACCGCCTCCCACCTCCTCTCCCTCCTCCAGTCAGTAACTCTTCTTGCCTCTTCACTCGATGCCAGTCCCTGGATGCCAGCTGTTGTACTGTACTACTGTACATTTCAAGGTACTGTACTGTAAGATTTAAAATGTTTATTTTTTGTTTGTTATGTATTATTTGTGTGAAAAGTGTTTTAAACCTATTATAGTACAGTACTATATAGCCAACTGTGTCAGTTGGGTACCTAGGCTAACTTTGTTGGACTTACGAACAAATTGGACTTACAAACACGCTCTCAGCACGGAACTCGTTCGTATGTAGGGGACTTACTGGACAGTTATTTCATCTGTGCTTTTCAAGTTCAATCCATCATGCATGGTAAAAGGCATCATGGAAACAGGAAAGTGGGTTTTTAGAAAGCTGTATTATCAACACAGAGAGAACACCTAAGGACTGTCTTGGGGCTTCTCCCCAACTGTGCTGTCACTCCGAGTTTTCTCAGCTCAGCCAAAGTAACACGAGGTGTATTTGTTTGCAAGATGGTACTGTTGTGAGAAATAAGATGGGAGCTAGCTGGATGGCCGGGATAACTTCCTCCCGCGGGGTGCTCGGCTCAGCATCTCCCTCCTGAGACCCAAGGATAGGCTTGCTTCCAAACCAAAGGAGATTCAAAACACCGGCAGCCCCCTCACAACCACATATTTACAGATTAATCAAAGCCATCCCCTAGTCTAGAAAGGACAGATGCTACATGGAGCTAAAATGCCAACTACTGATCCAGAACTTTCAAGATGATCCCTTTCCCCAAACTTCTACACCATTTTTTTTTTTTTTTTTTTTTTGCGGTACGCGGGCCTCTCACTGTTGTGGCCTCTCCCGTTGCGGAGCACAGGCTCCGGACGCGCAGGCTCAGTGGCCATGGCTCACGGGCCCAGCCGCTCCACGGCATGTGGGATCTTCCCGGACTGGGGCACGGACCAGTATCCCCTGCACTGGCAGGCAGACTCTCAGCCACTGCGCCACCAGGGAAGCCCTACACCATTCTTTAGATTGCAAACAGGCAGCCTGCAGACCAAATCCAACCTACAAATATGTCCTGCTTGGCTATCCAAGTGTTTTTTTAAAAATTCTGATTTAGTTAGCAATATACTGGGAGACTTCACATAAATATCTGGGTTTCCTGACTCTCTGAAAAAAGTTAGGACTTCCCTGGTGGTCCAGTGGTTAAGACTCTGCACTCCCAATGCAGTGGGCCCAGATTTGATCCCTGCTCAGGGAACTAGATCCCACATGCCACAACTAAGAGTTCGCATGCCACAGCTAAAGATCCTGCATGCCATAACAAAGATCCCGCGTGCCGCAACTAAGACCTGGTAGAGCCAAATAAATAAATAAATAATTTAAAAAGTTAGAAAATCTGTTCCCACAGAGCAACCCTCAGCTGGAGCTAACAACTGCCCTCTTTAGACAGGTGGGTGCTCCCCACCATGGCCTTACACCCTGCTTGCTCCGCTCGTTTTTGTTACCTGCCTGCCATTTACACCTGCTTTGCTTGCTCACTGAACACCCCTTCGCAGGCTCCACAGTCACTAGCACAGTAAGGGGCCCGAGCGGAGGCTGAAGGGAATCCTTGTAGTCTATGATCGCTGGCTACAAAATCTGAGACTGAACAAATAAAGCAGGAAGGCTTTGCTGATAGATCCTGCAGCTCCACGAGGACAGCAGAAGCTGCTTCTGAATCTCTATGAGCTAGACCACCATTATGTTCTCTCCAACCACAGGAACTTTCCTGACAGACCAAGAGCTTTATTGTTGGGTAAAAACAGTTCCTGATCACAGATTCTGTGCTTTAGTTCTCCTGGTCCTGAGCTCTCTTCCACTCTGAAGCAGGGAGACTGCCTGCTGGCTTTTCCAGCATGTGGCCAGAGTGTCGAAAAACAGACACTAGTCCCCAGTAAGAGCCCTGAAGCAGCTGTTTCTTCAACTCATCACACCTGGCTCTTCTGGAGTCTGTCCCAAGTGAGAAGTTAGCAGAGTCCCTTAAACAGAGAGAAGAATTCAGGGCAAACTGCCCAACTGTCTTCACTGAGCTCTTGAGTGTGTGGCTTCCTCGTCCCCATTTTGATCCCGACTCGGCATCTTTAAGCCCAGACGGCGCAGGGAATGGACAAAATATCGAGGAGGCTTGCAGACCAAGTTGAGTTCCTCCTTCCCGGCCTGCAGGGCAGGCAGAGTCAGCTGGCAGGCATGCAGGTGAAGGGGGATGTGACGGGCCTTGGACTGCCGCAGCCCCAGCTTCTTCAGGATGCAGGCGGACAGCTTCTGTGCAGAGGAAAGAGCTCGTGAGCGCAAGGCCAACAGCTCCAGTGTGCGGGGGCAGAAGACCTCCACTCACGGGGCCCCCTCACTAACTCCCGGAAGACACAGTGATGGACAGCCTGCTTCGGGGCCATTTCTAGGAAGGGTTCAGAGCCCATGTATGAGAAAACCCATCACACCAGGGAAGCTCTCCTTGGCCAATTCTCTGGCTTTCCAAGAGAATGGGCTGTAACAGCAAAAAACAAAGTTCCCACCAAGGCTCTTTTGCTGTAGCGTGAAAGCCTGCTTTGAGCCTTCAGAAAGTCTCCTAACTGCTTCTCAATTTCTCCAGAAGCTAGATAACTAGCATGGTACTGTGTCGGAAGACAATCAACACATCTTTGCTGTGACTCACTTCAGGGACTTAACAAGGGGAAAGCATAAGTTCTCCCCCTTATTCTGCTGCATATTGGGTCAAACGTATATTACCTGGGGGGCCAGCCTGTTCCAGTCTGAGTACTTGTGGTCACCAAGGATCGGGCAATCCAATCCAAAAGACAGGTGAACTCGAAGCTGATGTTTTATTCCTTTAAAAAAAGAGAGGGAGGAAACTTAGGAGTAGCTATTGAAACAATACCACTGGTGGCATCTGCTTCTAACCATACTAAACCAAAGGACAGTAAAACGGGCAAAGCCCCAACTACAATAAGGTATAAAGAATAATATAACAAACAATAGGCTATCAGGAAATAAACATTATAAATGCTGTTAAGCCTCTAAGTACCCCTCGCCACCACAGTTCCCTTTCCACCACAGATAACCACTGCTATCAACTTGGTGTCTATCATTGCCATGCTTTTTTTTTTTTAATAATTGTGTTGTATAACACTAAATAGTATTGCTTTGTACATTTATTTTTTTTACTGTGGCAAAATATACATAAAATTTACCATTTTAATCCTTTCTTTTAATATAAATTTATTTATTTTTGGCTACATTGGGTCTTCGTTGCTTCGTTGGGTCTTCTTTCTCTAGTTGCGGCGAGCAGGGGCCACTCTTCGTTGTGGTGCACGGGCTTCTCATTGTGGAGGCTTCTCTCATTACGGAGCACAGGCTCTAGGCGTGTGGGCTTCAGTAGCTGTGGCTTGCAGGCTCAGGAGTTGTGGCTCGCGGGCTCTAGAGCGCAGGCTCAGTAGTTGTGGCGCATGGGCTTAGTTGCTCTGCGGCATGTGGGATCTTCCCGGACCAGGGATTGAACCTGTGTCCCCTGCATTGGCAGGCAGATTCTTAACCACTGCACCACCAGGGAAGTCCCATTTTAATCGTTTTTAAGAGTACAGTTCGGTGGCACTGAGTACATTCACATTGTTGTGCAATCACTACTACAGTCCCTCTCCAGAACTTTTCCATTGCCCCCAACTGAAACTCTGTACCCAGTTAACAATAACTCCCCGCCCCCTGCTCTCTCCAGCCCCTGGTAACCATTACTCTACTATCTGTCTCTATGAATTTGCCTACTCTAGGTATCTCATATAAATGGCATCATACAGTATGTGTCCTTTTGTGTTTCATTTAGCATAATGTCTTAACGTCTATCCATGCTGCAGTATGTGTCAGAACTTCCTTCCTTTCTAAGGTTGAATTACATTCCACTGCATGATGTACCACATTCTGTTTTTCCACTCATCTGTTGATGGACATGTAGGTTGTTTTCAGCTTTAGGCTATCGTGAATAGTGCTGCTATAAACACCGGTGTACAAATATCTCTTTGAATCCCTGTTTTCAATTCTTCTGCATATATACAGGAAGCAGAATTGCTGGATCATAGGGTAATCCTATGCTTCATTTTTTGAGGAATCAATTTGCAAATTTTTAAATAAACGTAAGCAAATCATTTATTTATTTATTATTTTTTGAAGGGAAGAATTGATTTATTCTATCATTTTAACTGAATATTTCTCACCCACCCAGGAAACTGATTAAGAGTAGGAGTCTGCCTAAAGCAAACTATTTGTATCCTTCTGCTACCTACTGTTTTTTTTTTGTTTGTTTGTTTGTTTTTGTGGTACGCGGGCCTCTCACTGCTGTGGCCTCTCCCGTTGCAGAGCACAGGCTCCGGATGCGCAGGCTCAGCGGCCATGGCTCACGGGCCCAGCCACTCCGCGGCACGTGGGATCTTCCCGGACTGGGGCACGAACCCACATCCCCTGTATCGGCAGGCGGACTCTCAACCACTGTGCCACCAGGGAAGCCCCTACCTGCTGTTTTTAACAATCATCCCTATGGAAGCTCCCAGCCTCAGATCAGCACTGGAAGCACACTCTGGTGCAATCCCAGAGCCCCCATAATACCAGCTGCTCAGGGGAGGGGCGGAGCCTGGCACAAGGCCCTGGGTGAAGCTGAGGGGCAGTGGGGCTTCTCCACCCACTGCAGAACACTGGCACCCTCACCGGTAACAGGCTGGAGCTCCAAGAGGGCGGAGGAGAGGGTGCTGCTCAGCACCCGGTACTGAGTCACAGCCAGGTGTGCGTTCCTGCTGGTCCGTACCCTCACCATCTTCCCATTGTCCATGCAGTAGCTCGGGGACAGCGTCATCTGGAGCCAAAGAAATCAGGACACAATTTCGATGAAAGAGCAGCAAACCCATCCCTCTGGAGGCGCTCACCCACCTTGTGGTGTCGTTCCTGGCCCTGCACCTCCTTCTCGATGATGGGAATGTCCACGACTCCCGCTGAGGGCACCGGGACGCGCATCGTGATGGCCCTGAGGGGACACACACAGACCCTTGCTTAAGCCGCAAAGGTGAGTGAGGCTCTCCTTGCATCGGCTACTTAGAGGTTTTAACTCTGGACCTCCTGCACTACTGTGGTCAGTTCTTAAGATCAGAGGGTCCCAAATGATCTCTTGGTATAGTGCTTAGCCTGAGAGTTTGACGCTATCCTTATACGCCTGTCTTTTTTACAACTAAACTAATATGTGCTGATTGTAGAATATTTGGGGAAAAAACAGAAAAACAAGAAAAAAATTGTATTAATAACACGGTCACTCATCCAGCCTTTAAAAATGAGTATGTACAGCTTAAAGTAAAACTAGGGTAATACAGTTTTGTATCCTGTTTTTCTTTTTTAAATAATAAAAGATGGTAAGTTCGAACTGCATATGGAATAAATGAATAAATGAATGAATTGAGTGAAAATTTCACAGGACCGCTCCTGCCTATTTGCCAGATCAATAAAACAGAGGAACTGTGCTCAGAAAAGTCACAGGAATCCCAACCATAGCTCAGTAAGTCCCTCTTGTTGGAGGTTTCCCTCCATCACACCACAGACAGGCAGAAGACTCTTTAATCTGTCCTTACGTCGATGCCTCTTCCAGTCAGTCAATCAGCTCTCCTGGGTACCTGGTGGCCTAACACAGAATCACTGGCCCAGGAGTCACAAGCCCAGATATAACATTGCACACCCTGGACACCCCACTGCAGATTGGTAGCAGTTTAGGTTGCTATCTGATACATTTTATCATACCTACACTGAGTTGTAACTATGAGTTGACCCTTTCTAATGACCTAACACTACTGCTGTTGTCTGACATTTTACCAAAGGAATGAAATCATGTATACTCATATAATTAATTTTTAATAATTTTTATGTACAGCCATAATTAGGAACCACTATGCCACCAGACTCTAATATTCTAAGCACTAAACCTGTTTCCTATAATTTTTATATGCCCACACATCTGAGTACAGTGCCTTCTATTACTAGGAGTTCCTGCTCTATGAACGGATGAATAGATGGAAGGGTGCCTACACCACCTCGACTGCTATCGATGGGCTTCATACCAGTACTTCTTTGTCACCTGACGGGTTCTAAACAACTCTTGGACTTGATGCGCCACGTCTTTTTCCCAAGCCAACACCATTACGCCTGTAGTTTCCTTGTCCAGCCGATGGCACAGATGCAAGGGCTCTGCCTTGTGGCCGTGAAGCATCTTCGCCAGGACAGGCAGTACATCACTGATGCAGAGCCGGACCCCAGGGCCACCTACGAAGGAAAAAGCCAGAAGTTTGAGAGGCCAGGAAAAGATTTCACCAAAGACCTCTACCTGGGACAACAGTCCTTACTGGATTAACAGTAAATGCTTTCTAGAGCCTTATTACTGAATTGTGGTCCAGGGACTAGAAACATATCAGTCTGCCCAGGGAGCTCGCTAGAAAGGAATCTCAGGCCTCCAACCCAGACTAATTAATCAAAATCTGCATTTTAACAAAAGGTCCAAGTGACTCATATGCATATTAAAGTTTAAAAAGCACCATCCTAGAGCATGTGGCTTTCTCCTCAGACCTATATGTGTGTGTGTGTATATATATATATATATATATATGTGTATATATATATATATATATAGTTAATCTACTTATGTAGTCATACTAAAATTAGCAACCAAAATGATGAGATCTGATATTTCACTATATAAACAAACACTTGAGAATTTGCCAAGTAAACCCTAGTGAGAAATGCAAGACCATGAGGCCTTCCTGAGGCATTACAGAAGAGCTGAGAGGCAGGGCTTTGGGGTGAGACATTCCTGGGTTCCATTCTATGGACCCTCACAACTAGCCATTGACCTTGGACAGATTACTTACTCTTTCCAACTTTCAGTTTTCTCATCTATAAAATGTAAATATCTTGATAATAGTTATCTCTTGGGGAACGGAAAGGCAAGCTACTGGAAGGATCAAGAGAGGAAAAAAACCATACAAAGCACTCGGCAATGTCTGATTTAATTCGTTGTTTTCATGTACAACCTTCTCCATACCTCCCCCCAAAACATTCGTTCTTCTAGCTAAACTATGCCTATTCCCCCAGCAAAACCCTTTCCACAAATGCATTTTTTTCTATCAGTCTTTCCTGACTCACCCTAGCTGTCTCTGACTACATTTAACATTTATTCAAAAACATTAGGGTTTCCATTAAGTTGTAGGCACCCTGGGGTTTTGTTAGGTATACACCAACACACGTTATGTCCTCTTTCCCAGTTGTTATGGAAAATAATCTGAAGACAGGAACCACACAGCCTTTGTCCTTCTCTATAGCAATCCTCGGTGGAGGTCTGCACACAGCAAATTCCATAAATCACTGCTGGCTGCCAGATGTTTGGAAGGTGGGGACTGTCTTATTTATCTCTGCGTCCTTACTGGTTCCTCACAGAGGACAGTACCCCACAAAAGTTTAATTACTTTGAAAGCAAGGCTTCAGAGAGCCCCCCGAGTAATGTTAGAGTTGCCCCTAACTGCCCCTTTGTGTAGCACAAAGCAGCAGCGGCCCGCCTCCCTTCCCCACATGCTGCTTACCATGCACAGGGAGACCGTAGGGCTTATTGATGACCACAAGGTCCTTGTCCTGGTGGATAAGTCCTCGGCTCAGCGCCTTAGCAAGCACGTTGGGGTGGACGCGCTGCAGCTGCTCTGTGAACCGCAGTAGTTCTTGCACTCTCCTTTGAACAGGGTTTGTGGGCACCTGCGGGGAGAGAAGGAGCGACGGTAAATGCCTGGTGGGGAGGACTTTCAGTAAGTCTGGGTGAGAATTTGGGAAGGGAATGCCTGTATTTTTGCATTAGACTCGCCCCGTCCCCGAGTAATTTGAGCGCAGGGGTGGGTGTGTCTCGCCTGTACCCACGTAGCGCTTAGGGCCGGGGTCGGCAGGAGCCAGAGACCCAGCCCACAGGAAGATACCGCACCCTTCTGACCTCTCCCCTCCGCTTTCTCCCCATTCTCCCACCACTAGTCCTCGACATTGATTACTTGACATGTGTCAGAGGACCCTCCCACCTCCCTCCCGGCCTGGGAAACCAGTGAGCGCACTGCCTCTTGGGAGTTGTGGTCCTTCTGGGCTCACCGGCTTCTTCGTCTTTTGTTCCTGTTTCTGGGCTCGAAGCCTCTCCGCTAATCGCTGGGCATCCAGGGGCCGAGAGGCAGCAGCAGCGGAACAAAGTGGCTTTGAGACGAAAGTGAAGAGATTCCCCAGACGCTGCCAGGAACCCCGGACCCAGACGCCAGGCGCACTACAGCTAGCAGCCGCCATCTTGCCGCGCTAAGCCCACGCGCAGAAGACGGACTAGAGCTAGGAGGGAGTAGGTGGGCCCTGAGGCTCACGTGGGGCGGTCGGGGCGGGGTCCCGGGCGAGTCACGTGGGGGCGAGGCGCGCTAAGTGCGGCTGCGTTGGCCGGTAGCTGCAACTGGAGCGGTTGTGTTCGGAGGAGACGCGGTGAGTGTGTGGAGAAGCCGGGTTGGGGCTGGGAAATGCCGGTGCCTCAACGCTTTAACGTTTCCGCGTCCCCAGCGCTTCCGTTCTCGGAGGTCCCTACCTTGGGAAACCGTTTCTCCCTTTAAGAGACGACGCCACTCAAAACCGCCTCCCCGCCCCCGGGAGAAGCGTGCCCCATGGACACTCGCCCCAGAGCCGTCTGAGGCGCCCACCTCGTCCGTTTTGGCAGCCACGTCCCGGGTGCTCGGCCGGTCCCTCGAGGGACGCCTCGCGTCCTTTTTTTTTTCCTTACCGCTCGACCTTCGGAGACGCGGGATCTCTGAAGCCTCTCCACCCCTCATCTCCTGACTCCCAACCTCTTTGTTTCACGTTGTAACTAGTCCTTCTCTCCCAGGGGTGATGGGGAGCCCTTCCGTTATCCACGGGTCCATATTTTGTTCCTAGGGAGCACCTTGAGTTTCTTCTGCCTTCTTCAAGAATTCATTTCGTGGCGTCTCCCCCGTCCCTCCCCCCACAGCTTCCAAAGAAAAGACAGAGTACAGAGCAGGAATCTTCCCTTCCCTTTTCCACTTCCTTCGTTTTCTCCATCCCTGGTTTGTAACTTGCTCCAGACCCTCTCCTTCTCTTACAAGGTGCAGTGTTGGGACTCCCATGCCCAAACTGCCAGGGACTTCACTAAGTCAAGACCCTGGGACTTCACTAAGGGGTGGCAGGGAAGAGGAACATCTGGTTGGGATAGTAATGTTAAAAGAACCTGGGAACAGACCTGCCATTTATGAAGAAGAAAGCTGATGCCGAGCCCTGACGAGATCTCAGGAAATTAACGGATCTGTGCTGACGATAGAGGAAACGGTTTTTAAGACTGCTTAGGATGGAGGCTGCCTGAGGAGTTAGAGGAGGTGGTGGAATTAAGTTTGCGTCCTACCCCTCTAAAAGGGCTTGGCAGAAGGGAGCCCTGTAGAGCATGAGATAAAGTTGAACAGGTAAGTGGAGCTAGCCTATAGAAGACTTTAACTGGAAGAAGGGTTTGAACTAGATGTGGTAAGTAGGGAGGAGTCTTTGAAGATGCTAGAGCAGGAGAGAGACTCCTTGAAAGTGGAATTCTGGAAATGAATCTGGCATTTGAATGCAGGACAGATTGAAAAGGAGAGGGCTTTGATAACTGGGAAATCAGCTAGGAAGCTGCAATCTGAGTGCTCAGTAGAAAGGCTGTGCTTCGTTCACTGGTTTTTTTTTTTTTTTTGGGGGGGGGGTACGCGGGCCTCTCACTGCTGTGGCCTCTCCCGTTGCGGAGCACAGGGTCCAGACACGCAGGCTCAGCGGCCACGGCTCACGGGCCCAGCCGCTCCACGGCATGTGGGATCTTCCCGGACCGGGGCATGAACCCGTGTCCCCTGCATCGGTGGGTGGTCTCTCAACCACTGCGCCACCAGGGAAGCCCCGTTCACTGGTCTTTTTCCCTACACTGTACTGTCCTTTGAGTGTGAATTGGTTTTGAGTTGTACAGGTCAAGAGGTACTATTGACAGCTGCTGTTGAACTGTGAGTGCCTTAAGGACTCATTCATTTTTTTTATCCCCCGCATCTGGTACAGAGTAAATTCATAAATATCCCTTGGCTGGCTGAAGTGCGTCAGAGGCATGGGTTAGGTGTGTCTGAACATTTTGAATTATCTAATTTCTGTCCATTTTTGACCTAAAGATTGGAGGTAGGAGTACATGTATTTGTAAAGAGGGGGAAAGAAGACCTGTGTATGTTTCTGTAATAAGAGAGGTGATCGGGGTATAAATGTGAAGAATTCGAAGGGAGATTGAGAAACAGCTTCTCTCCTACTGTTTTTTCCCCCTGCAAATTCCCAGGAAAGACACAGATCTAGAGAAGTTGAGAATTACTACCTTTTACTGATAATGTCCCAGACCCAGGTTCTAATTTCACTAAGCAGTCGCACATCACGTGTTACATAAGTATGTGAAGACTCCTTTCCAGGGACTCTGAAATTTGGACATCAGGACTTAAATTCGTATCGTTACATTAATTACAAGCCTGTTTTAGGTGTAGGACTTTTATGGTTTTGGGGGGGGGCTGGGGAGCCTTTTTCTGCCTTAACCTGTCCTTAATGGCATTCAAGAAGTGACCCTTGTTCCTGCAGAATTGGCCTTCTGTGGCAGGAAACAAAATGAAGAACCAACTCAGATGTCATTGTCAGTGACACAGAGCTTGTGTTCTTGGGTTTCAGGTTAACCCAAGGCACACACTATAGTGCCTAGGCATAAAAACACTGGTCTCTTTTTTTCTGGAGAAGGAACTTTTAGGTTTTTCTTGTTGAAACTTTGTAAGAGAAATTTGAAGAATTCAGAGTTTTTGTTTGCTTGGTATCACAGTACAGCTTTAGCCAATGTGGGTACAGAAGTTTGGTTCCTTAATGTTTATCCTTTGAGTCTGGCCACTTGTTGATTTGAAATAGAGTTGCTCTCAGTACACAAGAATTTATGTAAAGATATATATTACCTCCTTTCTCTTCCTCTTTCAGGTAATCCTGTTTTAGATAGTGCATTTTTCCACTTCTGCACTAATCTCATATTCTCTTTTTGGTTGGGGGCTCTTCTTA